GAAGCTGTGGGGTTTTGTTCTTTCAAAGCCTGTTTGGAGAGAGTGAGTACCTTCCTAAAGTCACGTGGTTACTGGAGTAAGGAGCAGGTTGGGTATTGGAGCCCAGCTCTGTAGCTTTTCCTTCTTCATGTGTTTTCAGAGAGGTATTGAAAACCTCTGTATTGCCCAGGCTGGTCTTGAACTCCTGGGCTCAAGTAATCCTCCCACCTCAGCCTCCCAAAGTGTTGGGATTACGGGCATCAGCCACCTCTCAGTTAATTCAGGAAGTATATTCTCATGGTGAAGAAAAGCTTCAGCACAGCCCAGAGCAGCAGGGTGAGCAGCAGGCCCTCAGGAGGCGGCCCCACACCACTGGCACTCTGCCGGGTCACTTCTCACATTCTCTGCAGATGTCATGGTGCCAAGTTCACAGTTTCACTCTGTGCTATGGGCATGAGGCTGCCTCAGCTCCTCCCAAAGGGTGAAAACCCCTGCCCAGAGTAGAGGTGTGGGATTTTCTAGTTTGGGGGATTTTTGTAATTGTGGTAAGATATTCCTGCCATACATTGGTCAGTTTCACTGTTGGTTAGTTGTTAGTGTGCAGTTCTGGGGTGTTCGGTGCCTTCATGGTGCTGTGTGCCCACATCCACTCCCAGCACCCCCAACATAAGCTTGGAACCCATTATACCCACTTCTCCTGACTCCCTTCCATGGCCTCTGGGAACCTCTTTTCTACTTTGTCTCCATGAGTCCTCTCTTTTGGAAACCTCATAGACGTGGAATTGTACATATTTGTCTTTTTGTCAGTGTCTTTTTTTTTTTTTTTTTGAGACAGATTCTTGCTCTGTCACCAGGCTGGAGTGCAGGGTCGTGATCTTGGCTCAACACAACCTTTGACTCCTGGATTCAAGCAATCAGCTTCCTGAGTAGCTGGGATTACAGGCGTGCACCACCACAGCCGGCTAATTTTTGTATTTTTAGTAGAGACGGGGTTTCACCATGTAGGCCAGGATGATCTCTATCTGTTGCCTTCATGATCTACCCGCCTTGGCCTCCTAAAGTGCTGAGATGACACGCAGGAGCCACCGCGCTCAGCCACTGGCCTATTTCGTTGAGTATAATGTCTTCGAGGTTCATCCATATTGTTGCATATTCAGACTTTCATTCCCCTCCCCCACTTTTTTTCTGAGACAGGGTCTCACTTTGTCACCCAGGCTGGAACGCAGTGGTGCAGTCACAGCTCACTGCAGCCTTTACTTCCCTGGGCTCAAAAGATTGTCCCCTCTCAGCCCCTCAAGTAGCTGGGACTACAGACATGTACTACCATGCCTGGCTAATATTGTATTTTTTGTAGAGATGGTGTTTCACCATGTTGCCCAGGCTGGTCTCGAACTCCTGAGACCAAGCAATTCTGCCTCGGCCTCTCAAAGTGCTGAGATTACAGGAATGAGCCACCATGTGTGGCTAATTTTTTTTTTTTTTAATTTTGTAGAGTTGGGGTCTCACTATGTTGCCCAGACTGGTCTTAAACTCCTGTGCCCAAACAGTCCTCCAGCCTCATTCTCCCAAAGTGCTGGGATTACAGGCATGAGCCACCATGCCAGGCCCTTTGCTGTCTTTTTTGTACTTCAGTTTACAAAAGACTCCAGTTTGACTGTTACTGGGTGTGTGTGAAGAAAGGAGGAACTGTAAGCCTTAGTACAGAGATGCCCCAGAAATCCGTCGGGCTCGGGACTTGGCCTGGGTGGATCTACTCAGGCTAAGGCTTTACATGACCACAAGCTGAGGCCCCCACCCCTGGCCTGAGTGGCAGCTGAGGCACCCTGTGCTGTGCTCGTATTTTAGCGACAGTTTGTCCCTTGGGTCGGGAAGGCTGCCGCTCAGGGCCTGTCCTCTGCTCTTGGCTTCATTTGTGCCAAATCGAGCTGAGTTTTGGCTCTGATGGTGTCCACAGTAATCGGACTCCAAACCTGTGCAGCCAAAAAGGGCCTTGGCGTTTGGTTGTTGGATGTGTGTGCCAACGAGGCTCGCCAGCAGCAGCTTAGTCCACGTCCTGCTGGGCTCTGCCTGCCCAGCACTGGCCACAGGGTAGGTGCCCAGCGAGTGTTGTCTGAAGTTGACTGCATCCTGCCATTGCAGGAGAAAGAGCATCTAGGGTTTGTCAAGAAGTGCCATCCGGGCCAGGTGCGGTGGCTCACACCTGTAATCCCAGCACTTGGGAGGCCAACACAGGTGGATCACTTGAGGTCAGGAGTTCAAGACTAGCTTGGCCAACATGGTGAAGCCTCGTCTCTGCTAAAAATACAAAAATTAGCCAGGCGTGGTGGTTGCTGCCTGTAATCCCAGCTACTTGGAGGGCTGAGGCAGGAAAATCACTTGAACCCCAGACTCTTATCTCCAAAAAGAAAAAGTGCCGTCCGAATGCACAGTGTTGAGGCCTTTTAAAAATGTTTCTTACATGATGACCAGGTTCAGCATTCTACTTGCTGAATTATTTATCTCTTAGAAACTTGCATTTCCAATAGAGATGATCAAAAATAGCCTCCCATCTTCTGTGGGATTTCCTCCACCCCATCCTGTTAGAATAGAAGCTGCAGGGGCCAGGCCCCCTTTTTCAGGGCCCAGCACAGGAGCCACCGTGAGGAAGCACTCTGAAGACAGTTTTGATTGACAGGGTTGTTTCCCTGGAACTGCTTTTCTTTTTTAAAAAATTTTTGAGGGCTTAACTGCATATAGGAATGGCTTCATTTTTTTTCTCTTATTTATTATTTTTATTGTGATTATTTTTCAGAAACAGAGTCTCACTGTGCCACCCAGGCTAGAGTCCAATGGTTCAACCATAGTTCACTGTAACCTTGAACTCCTGGGCACAAGTGATCCTCCTGCCTCAGCCTCCCACAGTGTTGGGATTAGAAGCATGAGCCACCACATCCAGCCAACTGGTTAATTTTCAAGAAGCCTGTTTTAGAGGATAGATGTATACGTTAGAAAATTTGCAGGGCTTGGTGGCTCACACCTGTAATCCCAGCACTTTGGGAGGCAGAGGCAGGCAGATCACAAGGTCAGAAGTTCGAGACCAGCCTGGCCAACATGGTGAAACCCCATCTCTACTAAAAATACAAAAAAGTACCTGGGCGTGGTGATGCAAACCTGTAGTCCCAGCTACTCCGGAAGCTAAGTCAGGAGAATTGCTTGAGCCCAGGAAGCAGGGGTTGCGGTGAGCCGAGAGTGCCATTGCACTCCAGTCTGGGTGACAGAGCAAGACTTCATCTTGAGAAAAACAAAAGAAAATTTAAAATTTTACTTATTTTTTGAAGCTAAACCCAAACCTGACCTCCCTAAAACTCACTTCTGATGGTCTAGTTTTACCTTTGCAGGAACAGCGGATGCTTATCAGAGTCTTTGATTTGGAACTTTATGGATTTTGTTGTTGTTTTAGAGAAATGGGGTTTTGCTATGTTGCTCAGGCTGATCTCAACCTCCTGGGCTCAAGTGATCCTCCTGCCTCAGCCTCCCAAATAGTTAGAATTGCAGGTGTGGGCCACTTTGTCAGCTCTAGAACTTTGTTTAAATGTCATTTTAAAAGCCTAAATCTGACCAGCCAGAGGGACTTGCCTGAAGTAAACTGTGATATGTTAACACAGCACAAAACTGTGTAGCTAAAGAGATTTGCCACAGAAATGTATATGTGGAAAGATATTTTTTTGTTTTGGGTTTTTCTGTTTTTTTGAGACTGGGTCTTGCTCTGTTGCCCAGTGGTGCAGTCATAACTCACTGCAGCCTCAACTTTCTGGGCTCAAGAGATCCTCCCACCTCAGCCTCCCGAATAGCTGGGACTACAGGCACTTGCCACCAAGCCTGGTTGTGTTGGTTTTTTTAGTAGAGACAGGATCCAAGCTAGTCTTACATTTTTATTTTTCGTAGAGATGATACTGCCCAGGCTTGTCTTTAACTCCTGGGCTCAAGTGATCCTCCTGTCTTGGCCTCCCATAGTGCTGGGATTACAGGCATGAGCCACCACACCCAGCATCTGCTTCATGCCAGGCCCTGTACAAGGTGCTGGGAGCACAGCCATGAACGACGGACGTGGCAGCGGATCCCAGAAAGACTCACATATCGGTGCACAGCGTCATCCCATCGTGAGTTTCCACTGGGCCTGCCTTGTCTGAGGATTCATGGCCACCTTCTTTGTCTGTGTTTTTAGGGTATTTCTCAAGCTGCCAGATACGTTTACCGACGACTCATCCACGACGGGATTTTGAGCCAAGCCTTCAGCATTGCTCCTGTGAGATCTTAATGTTTCTTTCCTTGTCCTCGTCCTCTCTGGAGCTGTTGTTTTTCCCCTTCACCTCACTCTGCTGTCTGTCCTCTAGGAGTACCGACTGGTCATTGTGGGCCACAGCCTCGGGGGTGGGGCGGCAGCCCTGCTGGCCACCATGCTCAGAGCCGCCTACCCGCAGGTCAGGTGCTACGCCTTTGCCCCACCCCGGGGGCTGTGGAGGTGAGCCTTTGTTTTCCTGCTCTAACAGCTTGCTACTTACAAGTCATCTGGTCAAGACTCATCTTTTATTTGTCATTTAGTTATAATTTCCCGTCCACAAGAAAGGTTTGTGGTTTGGTTTTGTTTTTGAGACGGAGTCTTGCTCTGTCGCCCAGGCTGCAGTGCCATGGCACTATTCTGGCTCACTACAACCTCCGCCTCCCAAGTTCAGGCGATTCTCCTGCCTCAAACTCTCGAGTAGCTGGGATTACAAGTGTCAGCCACCACACCTGGCTAATTTTTGTATTTTTAGTAGAGGAGGGGTTTCAACATGTTGCTCAGGCTGGTCTTGAACTCCTGACCTCAAGTGATCTGCTGACCTGGGCCTCCCAAAGTGCTGGGATTTACAAGCTTGAGCCACCACACCCAGCTGAGGTGTGTGTTTTGAAGCACTATTTGACTGAAGAAAGTCTGTACAGCCTTTCTTAGACCTGTGTGACCAGACCTTTAACTTCCTAAATGATATACTTCTAAGAGTCTTAGCTTTGCACCGTGGCAGTATTGTAGCCGATGAGGTTTATCTGAGGCACAACTATTGCTAATTGAAAACTTTTCCCAATACCCCGCCATGACGACTTGAAATAGAGTCGGCACTGGCAATTTTTAACAGTCTCTACGGAGACTGAAAAAAATAAGAGTCTTTTTTAAAACACTTTATTTTTTAGAGCAGTTTTAGGTAGACAGCAAAACTGAGCAGAAGGTTGTAGGGCTTTCTCATACCCTCCCTCCCCACAAGCATGCACAGCCTCTGCCATTCACACACCCCCAGCAGAGGGGGCAGGTTGCCGACATCCATACACCTCGTAGGCGATTGCCCAGAGCCACAGTGTGCTGAGCTTGGACACATGCATAATAGACATGTTGAAAGGCATTTTTGAGTTTGAAAAGTACATTTTTTTTGCTGATTCAGCATACTGACTGTTCTGCGTAACCTTTTGCCTTTATTATAAAGGAAAATTATACCACAATTTAAAATGAAATAAAGGCCAGGTGTGGTGGCTCACACCTGTAATCCCAGTCCTTTGTGAGGTTGAGGTAGAGGATCACTTGAACCCAGAAGTTTGAGACCAGCCTGGGCAACATAGCAAGACCCCGTCTCTGAAAAAAAATGTTTTTAAATTTTTTAAAGTGAAATAACATAGGCCAGGCATGGTGGCTCACACCTGTAATTCCAGCCCTTTGGGAGGCCAGGAGGAAGGATGATACGAAGCCAGAAACACAAGACCAAGCCTGGCAACATAGCAAGACCCAATCTCTACAAAAAACTTGTTTTTTGAGACAGAGTCTCACTCTGTTTCCCAGGCTGGAGTGCAGTGGCGCTGTCTTGGCTCACTAGAACCTCCACCTCCTGAGTTCAAGCAGTTCTCCTGCCTCAGCCACCAGGTAGCTGAGATTACAGGCATGTGCCATCATGCCTGTCTAGTTTTTGTATTTTTAGCAGAGATGGGTTTTCACCATGTTGGCCAGGATGGTTTCAAGCTCCTGACCTCAAATAATCTGTCCGCCTTGGCCTCCCAAAGTGCTGGGATTACAGGTGTGAGCCACCGCGCCTGGCTCCATCTCTACACAAAATTTTAAAAATTAGCACAGTGGGACACAGGCCTGTAGTCTCATTGACTCAGGAGGTTGAGGTAGGAGGATCATCTCAGCCCCAAGAGGTAGAGGTTGCAGTGAGCTCTGACTCTACCACTGCTCTCCAGCCTGCGTGTTGGAGTGAGACACTGTCTTTAAAAAAAAACATTTTTTTAAAGGTAGTTATTATTGGCTGGGTGTGCTGGCTCATGCCTATAATTTCAGCACTTTGGGAGGCTGAGGCAGGCATATCACCAGGTAGGAGATCAAGACCATCCTGGCCAACATGGTGAAACCCCATCTCTGCTAGAAATACAAAATGAGCTGGATGTGGTGGTGCATGCCCATAGTCCCTACTTGGGAGGCTGAGGCAGGAGGATCACTTGAACCAAGGAGATGGAGGTTGCAATGAGCTGAGATTGTACCACTGCACTCCAGCCTGGCAACAGAGTGAGACTGCGTCTCAAAAAAATGTAATAATAATAAGCTTCATTTGTCTGTTTTCTTGCTTTTTTTTGGACACAGGGTTTTGCTCTGTTGCCCAGGCTGGAGTGCAGTAGTAGCACAGTCATGGCTCCCTGTAGCCTCTTGCCTCCTGGGCTCAAGTGATCTTCCAGCCTCAGCCTCCCAAGTAGCTGGGACCACAGGCGTACACCACCACACCCAGCTAAGTTTTGTAAGGATTGGGGTCTTACTATGCTGCCCCAGGCTGGTCTCAAACTCCTGGGCTCAAGTGATCCTCCTGCCTCAGTCTCCCAAAGTGCTGGGATTAAAGGTGTGTAAGCCAATATGCCTGGCCTCATTTTCTTGCTTTATGGTACAATAAAATGTTCTCAAGTTTTGGGCTTGAAATGAGCAAGTATTTTTTTTTTTCCTGTTCCACATCTGGAATCAACCATTTCTCCAAGGAATATTGGTGCCTTTTAGTGGGAAATGGTATTTCTGAACTATAATCTGGGCACTAGTGGTTCCCATTACCAAAGGGCTGGTCATAATTTCCTGGCTTTTCCTTGGAAAGAGGAAGGAAAGGCTTTCGTTACACCAAAGAGAAAAGGAAACCTTAGTGTACATTGATACTTCCAGTTTAAAGATGAGGAGGCTGGCATGGTGGGTCACACCTGTAATCCCAGCACTTTGGGAGGCCGAGACAGGAGCATCACTTGAGCCCACAAGATTGAGAGCAGCCTGGGCAACATAGCAAGACCCCATTCCTTACAAAAATTAGCTGGATGTGGTGGCATGTGCTTGTGGTCACAGCTATGATCTCGGCTTACAGCTACCAGGGAGGCTAAGGTGGTAGGATTGCTTGAACTCAGGGCGAAGAGGTTACAATGAGCTGAGATCCTGCCACTGCACTCCAGCCTGGGCAACAGAGCTAGATTGTCTCAAAAACAAAAAAAAACAAACAGTATCAGGGTTTTTACCTGTACCATATGGTTGTGTATTGTTTTTACTGAAACTCTTTGTATCTTCTTCTGACCTGAAAAATTTGTTTTTTGCCAATAGTAACCTGTTTATTACATGTCCCCCATAATATATGTACATGTAGAAATGCATAGCGCACCCTTTCGGAATAGTAATACCAGCATAACGCCTAACATTAGGATGACTGAAAGGAGTTTGCGATGTCCGTGCGGTTGGTTTTCTTGTGGGAATATATTCCTGGTAGAGCTGTACAGCCAAATTCTTTTTCAATTCACTAAAAATATTAATTCTGTTTGGTTAATACACTAGTAGGTTTGTTTTGTTTGGCTTCTGATTTTTAGCGATTGCTTTGTTATTTTGTGCAATTTTGTTTTATATAATGATGTAAAATAAAATAAAACATCAGGCCGGGCATGGTGACTCACGCCTGTAATCCTAGCATTTTGGGAAGCTGATGCAGGTGAACTGCCTGAGCTCAGGAGTTCGAGACCAACCTGGGGAACACAATGAAACCCCATCTCTCCTAAAAATACAAAAAATTAGCTGGGCGTGGCAGCGTGCACCTATAGTCCCAGCTACTCAGGAAGCTGAGACAGGAGAATCACTTGAACCTGGGAGGTGGAGGTTGCAGTGAGCCGATATCGTGCCACTGCACTCCAGCCTGGGTGACAGAGTGAGAGTCCGTCTCAATTTAAAAAAAAAAAAAAAAAAAAGGCTGGGTGCATACTTTGGGAGCCCAAGGTGGGAGGATGGATGACAAAGTCAGGAGATCGAGACCATCCTGGCCAACATGGTGAAACCCTGTTTCTACTAAAATACAAAAAACTAGCCAAGTGCCTATAATCCCAGCTACTCAGGAGACTGAAGCAGGGGAATCGCTTTAACCTGGGAGGCGGAGGTTGCAGTGAGCCAAGATCATGCCACTGCTCTCCAGCGTGAGTGACAGAGCGAGACTCTCAAAAAACAAAAACAGAAACAAAGAAAATCAGTTCCAAAGACAATTCAACAAAGCAAGGTGCATTCAGAGGAATCTCGTTTCCATCCTTATTCCCTCAGAAATGCCGTTCTGTCACCCCACAGGTAGAAGTGTGCGTGGTTTTCACCTATGTTTCCATGTGTCCATAGCTGGAAGTAAGCATGTTTGTGTTCCCCTCTTCCTCTACCTGCTCGTCTGCCTCTGCTGCGGCTGTTAACTTTCACCGTGTCCCGAGATGGCCCCGCAGCAGCACACACAGCCCTCCTCCTTCTCCCAGCTGTGCAGGACACTATTGATTGTGTGACTTGTTGCTGTTAGTGGATTGAAGGCAGCTCTGTGGCTGGGTATTTGGAGGCTCCCAGCCTCTGCTGGTGCAGGTTCCGCTGCAGTGAATCGCCTGTTGCCTCTGCCCCTTGATTTTTGCTGGTGCATCTTTGATGGCCAGATGCACCATCAAAGATTCCAAGTGGGGTTTCTGGGTCAGAGGACAGATGCATGGGCCTGGCCCGTCTTGGTGTCCAGTCTGCAGTTTTAGCTGCGGAGGTCTCTCTTGAACGGATACTGTGACCTTAGTGGATCTGGCCAGTGAGTCGCTGTAACTGGTGTTTCCCCTCCCTTTAGAGAGCAGAGCTGAGGGCTGTGAAACTAACCCCTCAGTGACCTGGCAGTGTTACCGACTTCTCTCTTGGAAGTCCTTGTGGGCAGTGTGATGGTAAAGCTAACGTCCTCTCCCTGTTTGGAATTTCAGCAAAGCTCTGCATGAATACTCTCGGAGCTTCATAGTGTCACTCGTCCTGGGGAAGGATGTCATTCCCAGGTAAGCCCACCCGGCGCTGTGCCCAGGGCTGGGTACTGGGAGTGCCAGGTCCCAGCCTCAGTGTGCCTCTTTGCTAAACAGGCTCAGTGTGACCAACTTGGAAGATCTAAAGAGAAGAATCTTGCGAGTGATCGCACACTGCAGTAAACCCAAGGTAAGCGGGGTGCCTTTTTTTTTTTTTTTTTTTTGAGACGGAGTTTTGCTCTTACCCAGGCTGGAGTGCAAATGGCACGATCTCGGCTCACCGCAACCTCCGCCTCCTGGGTTCAGGCAATTCTCCTGCCTCAGCCTCCCGAGTAGCTGGGATTACAGGCACGCGCCACCATGCCCAGCTAATTTTTTGTATATTTTTTAGTAGAGACGGGGTTTCACCATATTGACCAGGATGGTCTCGATCTCTTGACCTCATGATCCACCCGCCTCGGCCTCCCAAAGTGCTGGAATTACAGGCGTGAGCCACCGCGCCCGGCCGCGGGGTGCCTTTTGAGAGGGCCTGGCTGTGAGATGCTCTGGAGAGCTGGGAGGAACTGCAGCCTCAGCACAGGGCACTTTATGCTGTTGCTGAAGTTCTCCTCCCACCCTCTAGTCAGATTCTGGTCTAGGATTCTGATGCCTAAGAAAGCAAATAGCTACGGCAAGTACAGGAAATGGCACAGGAATGAAATAGGATCTGGGCTGGGCGCAGCGGCGCATGCCTGGAATCTCAGCACCTCAGGAGGCCAAGGCAGGAGGATCCCTTGAGGCCAGCCTGGGCAACACAGCAAGACCCTGTCTATATTCTTAAAAAAAAGAAAATGTCCTGGAGGAAGCATCCATTTGATTTTGCTTTCTG